AAGTCGAGGTTTATTAGCTGGCGATCTCGTGGCATCGAAAGGATACCGAGATCGTGCCAGGATACAACTGTGGTTACAGAAGGTAACCGAATTCGCGCGAAGTTACAATCAAAGTGTAAGCGAAAGAAGAATGGAAGCAGAAAATAGCTGTCATTAGCACAGTCAAACAAAAGCACATTAAAACAAACACTGGTACAGTTGGTTGTAATAATAATTGTTTTTATTAAACCAGTCGTGTTCTCGTGATAAACGTGAGTCACTACAGGTTAATGTGTCGGTATTGTTTGAGGTAAAGAAAGTTCTCCAATCAGTGCTTCTTAGGTAATTGTGGAAGTTATTCCAATCAACCTTGCGATAGTTTCTACGAAGTGTTACGGTTTTACTTCTATCGGTTGTGGTTTTTACATTAAGGCTGCATATGACAATGTTATGATCACTACCTGGGAACTTTTTTCCAATATACAAAGTATTGGGGATGAGGCCACTGGTAAAGACTAAGTCTAAGATGTTTTGATGTCTGGTGGGGCGATCGACATACTGAGTCCATTGTCCAAGCTCTAGACATTCAATAAATGATTCATAACGTCTCGGCGCTTTGACTGGCAGCCAAGAAATTTCGGGCATATTGAAGTCACCACAAATGAGCTTGCCTGTGAATGAGAGGGATGATGCTAGCGTGAATACCTCCGATAATACTGCTATTTCATCTATTGATGCGTTGGGTTGACGATAAACACAGCCGGGCAGTAAGGTAACGGAATTCGACGGCTTTAATACAATCCACACCGAATCCTTTAGTTTGTTTAGTTCAGGCATATCACATAGCAGTGAGTTCAGGCTAGAGTGAGCGTAAATAAGGCATCCTCCGCCTCGTCCATTCAATCTATCACTTCTATATAGGGAATAGTTATCTAGAGATATGCTTCGGTCGGAAATATTACTGTTAGTCCATGCTTCAGATATCATAATAACTGATGGTTGATATGTGGATACAAACAGGGCTAAATCCGTCTTTTTGTTGCAGATCGATCGAGCGTTGATAAGACATATATTAAGCAAGTGGCCTACTAAGTTAAAATGCGTGAGGGTATTTCGGATAAAGTCGTCGTAACCCTCGCGAGTGTAAGATGAGTTTGATGTGAGGGATTGGATGTTCTTCATTAGCTCGGTATTTTGATAGTTAAACTTATTGGGAGGTGTATCAAATGAGCTGGTGAAGTTGATTGGGGAGTTTACCCAGGAGGAAAGGGTGGGAGTACTCTGTGATGGAAACTGTACGGAGGAAACAAATTTATGGTTTGCATGTGGTTTGAAATGACCTGGGCTATATGCTTCAACAGAGGTGTCACTAGGGGTCTTATTCCAAAAAAATCTTGTACAGGCCTACTGTGAAGTGTATGGTTATTTACAAAATAGTCTTGATGGTTAGACTCGTAGCCCCTGTTATGGCTATTTACGTTAGCGTGAGAGGGGTCTGCTACGCGTAACTGGGAGGAGTTGCGACTGTTGTTATACATGGGAGCCGTTGTTATGTGACGGGTCGGTACTAAAGGGTATGAGAAGTTTTCTTTTTGAGAGTAATTACAGTTGCGATCCTGGGGAATGTAGGTAGGGTGTGGAGTGAGAAACCTATTATTACCGTTCTTATTTATAGTTTTAGGCTTCAGGGGGTGATTTGGGTGGCCAGTTCTCTGGTAGTTTTCGTTAGTCTGCGTGTAAGGAGGCTTGCTACACTGAAGCCCACCACCCTTTTTGCAACTTGGAGGTGTTGAAGGCAAGTTATACGATAGCAGCGGGGAGAACCTGTTCACTGTTCTTGGGATACCTATAGAGCAGTTGGGTTCAATCTTACGTGTTTCCCTATTCGGTATCATGAGTTTTGTCTTCCCACCCTTTATTTTCAGAGCTGGAGTCTTTCGTTGTCTTTGTGAGATGAACTTACGTTCATTCAAGTCTACTTGTGGAATGTCTTTAGGAGGACAAATTTTCAAGTGTATAGGTTTAGTTGGATGTGTGTTGTTACACGACTCACATTTTAGTACATTACTGAACGAACAACTGGGATTAGTCATGTCGTTATGGTTTTTGGTGTCAGTTGGGGTCCGTATCTTATCCAAAGGTTTCTGATCTGTAGACTCATCTAGATCAACAGAGTGATCAGCCGTATGTGGAGTGGTGTCATGCTTATTGTTCGTGTGTTTTAAACTATTTGCTGTGTTGCAAACTGTCTCTGGCTGATTATTAACTGTAACACTCCCATTCAATTCTATCGCTTCGCGTCTTCTTACACGACGTTGACAGGGCGTAAGGTCTGGAGTGACTTTTATATTTTTGTATGGAATTAGTGAGCTTATGTTTTTGCTCAAATCAATAAACTGCTTAGCATCGTTACAACAGCCAAACATAAACAAGAGGGGGCAAGTTGATCTGTCTGACTTTTTTCTAAGGCGGATGACTTTGCAGTTAACGTTCGGCATACCGCATGCTCTAAGGCAAATATCTCTTAACTTAGATGGGTGTGTGCGGTCGGGGAGGTTATACACAACTGCATTGAAGGAGGACATTACTCTCTTCGTCACTTCTTCAGCCACAAACTCCAAAATACACTCAGCTTTAGTGAGTTGCTCAAGATTTCTGTCTGTATCAAGGCCCCATATATGAGTGAGGGGTGCTAATTGCTCAAGTTTGCCGTTAATTTCGGATAGAGAGTTTTGTAGCTGTCGGATGTCATTACTATATCTTTCAGTATTTTGGTGTGTATGAGGTGGACCACTGGACTCTTTAGTTTTTGAAATTTTAGACTTAGGCCTTGGTAGCACATACTGTTTAGTAGACTGTGCTGACTTTTCAATGCACGTAGGTATAGTGTCTTGTATGTCAACCAGTCTTACTGTTGGCATACTGCACGTAAAGATAGAGGGGCTGCGACATGGAGAATCTGGTGACGATAGAGACATTTGTGTACAATACACATATTTTTCAGTAGTTAAAGGTTCGACATTGTCAAGCACTGAGTCGTCAGTTGTAGGGGTTACAGATTTGGACCTTTTATTTGGCTTAGAAGTTGGTGAAATTCCTCTTTTACTGGAGTTATTGGACATGATATGAAAATAAGTGAGCACAGTGCTCGTTAAATTAAATATAATATCTGAGTATTAGTTGTTATTAAGTATTAACCTGGTTAATACTAGGATTAGAGACTGTGAGTATATAATAAATTGCAGACCTATTTACGACTTAAGTCCGCAATAGGTACAATACGAACTGGTAATTGTCCGTCGAATAAAAATAAGTTTTTTCTTATGTTTCGAGGTGAGATGTTCCCGATGTACAGGATAGGATGATAATCACAGTATAATACACCCTACAAAAGAGCAAGTCGAAGAATTCCTAAACCACGTGAAAAAAACGTTACCACTTTCAAAGTTCGCGCTAGAGTGAAGCATTGAATCTGGGCTGGCAGTTGCCGGTAAATGCTTTCAAGTGTATTATGATGCATATTGACTACCAGGGTAAAGATACATACACGGTAAATAACAATGAACTACCTGTTATCCAAACACGCATTGACCTAGGAGTCATCGTTGACCAAAACTTAAAAACTGCTCCACATGGCCGTAAGATAGCTTTCAAAGGTTCTAAAACTCTATGGCTAGTATGCAGAGAATCTAGATATGTCGATACTGAAGCTTTTTTGACTTTTCATACAGTATTGTGATTACTGACCCAAATTGCCTTGATTAATTTGAAATCTTCGTATAAATATTCATGTATATTAGAGTAAGGCCTGATGACGATCTAACTGGAAACAATTGTTTGCTTACATGTGTTGTTCTAATGCAATATTCATCCGAAACTCGAGTATTCTATACAAGCGCCTAGATCCTGCCTAAAAAGAGACAATGAGCTGTTGGAAAGGATTCAGAGAACCACAGCTAAGGTGGTTCTCAGAATCGCAAAACCTCTGTATTATGACAGACTGGTTAAACTAAATTCACTTCCCCTATCACATGAAAGAATCGGTAACCTGAACACAGATTTAAAACTACTCAGTAATGAATTCGAATCTGATATGCCCTCATTTCGGTTGTCTTTCAAGTAACGGAATTTACGAGCATGATATAAAAAGGTTTACGAGTTCAGGAAAAATTACTTGGCATCTGACTGTTGACTTTCACATCAAATCACCAACAGGAAGAAATCCTGACTTCACGATATTGTTGAAGCTTCAGTCTTCAGTAACAAGGATAGTAGGTTGGTGAACCTGTATTAATCCTAACACATTACTTTCCAGTGAAGGTCCAGCTTCTCCTTGAAAATATTCACTGATGGGGCTGATACCAATTGTTCGGGTAGGGCGTTCCAATCATTGACTACTCGATGAGAAAAACGGGACCCTACTTTAAGCTTATTAGATCGTGGTTTATGAACCTTCTTTCGATAACCTCGGAGATTATTAGTGCTGGAGGAAGCAAAAAGGTAAGACCCAAATCGTAATTAAATATACGAAATGCCAGTATAAGGTCACCTCGTGTCCTATGATACGACAAGGGGAAAGGGTTTAGGCGTTTTAAACGCTCATCGTAAGGGAGTTTGGAAAGACCCTTCACTAATTTCGCTCCCACATGCTGTACACGCTCAAGGGAGTTAATATCCTTTACCAGACACGGGCTAGCTGCTTGGATGCAGTACTCTTAATGTGGTCTTACATATATAGGGTATAAAATTCGAAACGTTTTCTCGTCAAAAGATTTGAACACTCGGTGAAGTGACCATAACGCACGAAAACCTTTGACAGCAGCTGCTTTGCAACGCTGCATCTGTGAACTCTTTCAAAAGAAAGTTGGACTAGATGAGTGATCAGCAGCTCTAGGGCTAATATAACTAATCCCACCTACCGTCTTCCGAAAACCGAAACTGAAACTGAATTCGATTCCAAGTTTGTCCATTGTCATGGTATGTAAGGCAGTTTAACACCGGCCTATTTGGTCTTCAAGGTCATGTTCGATCCAGGATCTTACCGTCCTAACCATGACCCACCAGCCGGGATGGAGCCATATGATCTTCCTAGAGAAGGAGATTTAGGAGCCCTCAGTAATGCTCAACAGGGAGCAACAAATAAGCTCAAAGTTAGAGTCAATTAGTCCTATATTTCTTAACAGGCCCAAACTCGGTTAAATAATGAGCATTATTTACGAAAACATCCAGAAATAAAATACATGATAACTGCATTTCTGAGGTAAAAGCATTCTTCTATTGTACGATGTATTGTAGAGATATTTTAACAAAACAGCCTGAAGATGCTAGAGAACATTTTGTTGGTAAGTTACATCTTAAGCTACATTTCCAGATTTTTTTACTAGTCCAAATCTTGAGTCGAATATAGAAAATATCAAGAAAGAATTCACAGATCAGTATCATGACGACCAAGTTATACGCTCTATGGCCCAAGAAGAACAGCAACCAGAAATATAATTTACGTTTTATTTAACTTTGGGGAAAAAACTAGGCTCATGTAGTCTGTAAATTGTTGAACAAATCGATAAGTTTTGCTTCATTTACTTCTGGACTTCAGATTTTTGTTCACAAACATTTACCTGTCCTTTCAGTCGTTTGTAAAGATAATTTGAATCATTCGATCCTTATTTCTTGTACAGTTTATTTGGTAATAGTAGTGGCACTTCCAAGTTTATGGCGTTATTTGAAAGTATTGAAGAACACATAAGTTTTCTGGTGGTTGGTCATCGTTGCGTCTTAAATGTTGTTGAACCACAATAAAACCGTCAGATTATGTTAAAGTTTGACTCGATTTTTAGTTTAAACAAGCCAATTAATGCAGATGTGCTACTATACCGTCTTTGGTATTGTGAAAGGGTTTGAAGGTGTCTAGTTACTGATTAGTGTGATATTATATTTTACACAGTATTATTCTATAGCCAGAAGTAACCTTTTAATGAGACCCAATTATTCGACTTTACAGCGAATAAAATACATCTAGAACACCTAATTGAAATTCAGTCGTCAAAATCTAATCAATTTGTAACATAGTTTCGATCAATACAATCACCAGATGGATAATTATCTCACTCTTGACTCGCAATTTGAACTCTAATTATGTTTTACTGGAATTCATTGAATTCTAGTAAGTACTTAGGTGTTGTTTCTGTCACGATGTCAAAAATATCGATGGTATTATTTATGCATATATATTTTAGAAAGTTCATATTATACACATTTACATAACGTTAACTGACTTCATAAATATACCAAAACTCAATGTCACTGTCCGTCTTTGTTTATAACCTTGTTGGGGAAGGTTAATGGAAGTGAAATGACATAAAGTAAGTATTCTGTACTAGTAAATGTTCGATAGCTTCTTAAGGCAATTAGGAGGTTTTTTGAGTTCTTTTGATCGTTCAAAAGTAGAATAATAGGTTTTGGCAGATTACGATTACATTATGGTCGTATCAAGGTTGAAAACGTATGAACTATTTGATTGTGACGTGGTGAATTGAATTATATGCTTCACGAAAGCTGAATTCAATTTTCTGTGAGATAAATGTGTACTATTGCGGATTATAAAGCTTGGCTTTATTTTCTATGGAATTTTTCAGCTGATTCCAGTTCGTACTAAAGGAATCAACTCTTACTCTATCATCCTACATATCAACTAAATGAATAAAAACTGGCTTGTTTAGTGAATAATCAGTTCATTTATTTTTGCACATCGTTTCAATGGTGTGAGCTGTATATATTTCACCAAATTTTACTTCAGTAAAGTAGAGGAAATTGGGGATTTCATCTATGACTTACTGCACTTTTGAACAATTCGAGACATAGTTCGATTAAGTGTTTACATTTCTCACAGTACAGCAACTAATAGTATCAGTTATATCTAACCTATCAAAACTTTGAATACCGTTGTAGTGTACCACATAGAAAACTTTGCTTGATAATCATATAAACAGGAACTGGATCGATAGTGCTCATATTTTCGGTTCTATTACTAACATAAGGTGACGAAGAACAACAGAGCACGAAGGAATAACTTTTGAGATTTTTAAGAATGGTGGTCTCTCCTTATCAGTTAGATTGACTGAGATCTTAGCAAGAATCTGGGAGTTGAACTGAATCGCACCTGACTGGTCTCAACCTCTGGTCATCCTAGTCTATAAAAAGAGACAGCATTGCCCTTACGACAATCACAGAGGAATCAGTAACTATTATGGTATCTAAAATATTAGGTTCATTAACGCTTCGACGTCCAACTAGCAAATCCGAGAAAACAAAGCTTATTTCAGAAATTAACCTGGATTTATAGATCAAATATTCACCCCTCGGCAGACTCTGGAATATAGACTTTTTGACATCCGGCTATAGTTGTATTCCCTGACCTTAAAATGCCATTCGACTCCATTGGTTGTGCGGTTCTGCGACCGTCTGGCATTATAAAGCAAATCAAAAAAGTACATTCACCTTGTACAGGCTCTCTACTCGTACACTAATTGTCGAGCCAGAGCTTATGGGGAACCGTGATCTGAATTCGTTACGTCAATTGGTGTCCGTCAAGGTTGTCCGCTTCCTCCATTTCTATTTAACTTTGTTATAGATATAGTTTAGAGATGACACCATCGTTTGCATTCTCAGTGTTTGATCTCCTACCAGGAAATCCGCTTGTTGACCTAGAATATTCAGGTGATGTAATCCTGTTTGGCAAAGACGACAAAATAAGGTCTTCTGACCACTTTAAGCAAGAATGCCAGTGTGCTTGGAATGTGTTTCTTTCTCTCTAAGTGCAAAACTTTGTTTCAGGACTGGTCTGCATCAACGCTTGAATTAACGGTAGGGAGTGGAATAGTTGAGTGTGTCAATCAATTCAGTCATCTTAGAAGTCTGACTATCCCGAAGGGTTGGTATCTGACATAATCTCAGCACGGATTCAGGAGGCTTAATTGACGTCTACCAACTTGCATCACTCATAGCCTAGGTCAGATGTACGTTTGTCAACTAAAAAGAGAGTTTGTTGCTCAACGGTTCTCTCCGTCATACTTTATGATTGTGAAACGTGGCCATTAAGAATAGAAGATATTCATGGGCTACTAGTATTCGACCATAGGTGACTTGGAAGCACTGCTTGTGTATTTTGGGACCTTCTAACAAGCGATGCCTGAGCTAGTAATGGGGTACTAGATAAGGATGGCAAATGGAGTGATGAGGTAGTAAACCCCCATCTAATAGGGTGGTTAGGACATGTGTTACGAATGCTCAACCATTGCTTGCCTCGACGGGCGATGTTGTCTGTTGTAGGAGTAGGTTGGGAGAAAGCCAGAGGCGACCAAGCCATGACATTTCAACAGTTCATAGTGACACCGAATGTTAGACTAAGCCCTGTAGGTAGATGCAAACTATCTGGTCGGAGTCCATGTGATCATTGTAACCAGTCGTTAGAGACTTTGAATGACATAGCTTAAAATAGCTCGCAATGATGCGGGTGCATCTACTCTTTGTCTCCACTTAGTTTTCAAGCTCCTAACTCCCCCTCCCCAATGAATTTTTTTATTCCACCAGTTCACATTTTTTCTCGAATCGTACCTTCGATGCATGATCTTATTTGATACTGTTGCAACCTCTACTTATTTGGGATTTGTTTAATCTGTGCTAAGGGAGTGTGTGTACTTAAACTGATTCACTCATATGCCAGGTTCTACGTTGCGACTTTACTGAAACGGTCTCCGTTAGAGAACCTCAACCGAACTCATCCATTAAATAAGTAGAGTGTAAGTTTGTTAATGCTACTATTAATTGGTATTTTTTGTTTACTTCTTAATAATGGTAAATTCGCCGTTCAGTCTTCATTAAAGTAGTAGGGTTTAGGATTTACGCCTATAGTTAGAATAAGCGTGTATTTTAATATCATCCTTTAAATCCTGGACCCATACTTTCCAAATCTAAACTTTAATCCTAAACTGTAATACTAGTTTTATGTCATGGCTCTAAATCTTATTCCTAAATCTAGGCCCAAATATCTGCTGATAATGTCATCATTAAAATAGGAATACAGTTTATTCACAGCTTAATCAATCGGGAACGATCCTATGTGATGGTCTGTTTCATTATCGGTAGAAGTCATACTGTTTTACTATATACCTTCATCATAATCGAAATCCTTATAGTTTAGCATTACCTTTTAGTTTATCTTGTATGAACAGTTATTGAGCATTTTACTGGCATATGTTACCACGTATCACTGAGTTCCTACAGTGTTCAACATTCCTTTTCTATCATAGAACGCACATGAAAATGATACCTACTCAATTAATAAATTCTGTATGTTATGGAATACTAGCGCTTAATGTAATATTCATGTACTATTATGAGAGACTTGTAGAGATTCTTCAGTTGATTGATCCCGTCTGAATGATCATTAAAAAACAAAATAAAACAGCACAGCTGTCTTGTCCTAGTATAATATTTTTCTGCTGTACATACCCAAGACTTCTTTAAGACTGGAACCCAATACATGTAGCTTTGGCGAAAAGTGCATTACTTTTAGGCTACTGAGTTAGCATCCAAAGGCAGTTTCAGCCAATTCGTGACAACTGCATGACAAATGTTTATCACTATAAGTGATGCTTTGTAGCAACTAATATTTTTACACGCCTACAGGACCTATCCTTACTTTTGGGTAGACTAATTGTCCTAATTTTCTCAGTCATTTTGTCATTCATATGTGTGACATTGATCATGGGGGCATAATTGTGCGATATATCTTTATGCTTGCTTGCATCTTTCATATCTGTAAATATTGAATCACGTTTTCATTTAACTGAGTTAGGGTGGCCTTCCCCAGCTCTCATCTTAACATCTAAGTAAACGAGTGGTTGAAATAAATTCGTCCAACTCAATTTGTACTTGACTTTTTGTTGCCACCGTCGTCCAAACGGAGTTAGCCTAAGTAGAATAAGCGAAATAAAGTGGAGAATTTATGTTCATGCCTCATTCACTGTTCGTTCAAACAGTGACTCCAACAACGAACCCAGAGTTTGTTTCAGCTGTGATAAGGACTAAACTGTAAATGTAAATGAATTGTTATAAATATGCTTATTAATTCCAATTATAAATAAAACCTTAAACTATGTCTTGATGTTGAGTGTATAGAAGTAGTCAGTAAGATATCCTTAGTCAAGATTTCATACTAGTTGGTATCTCTGCAATCATAAGGATTATTACTGAATCGTCAACCAGTTTACACATCTAAATCCTACAGGAGATCATTTATGACCCGAATAAATCAGTGACAAAATTTCAAACCATGGGGCTAGGTGATATGAGTTAAAATCCTTCAGAAATCATCAATACCCTCATGATTAAAGATAACCCTACTAACTTGCTACATAAGTTCAGGGTTCCCTATAGATTATTTTCATTCATCTAACATCAATGTATAGTTTACGTGATCTTGATTGAATTAACTCAACCGTCGAATTACAGTTTAAGTGATAAAATTTTATCAAAACTAATGAATAGACAAACATGACACTAGCTCATATTCAATAATCAGTCATTAAATTAGTCAGTCAGTTAATAACAACGTAGAACTTCGTACGTACGTACATCAGTTCAAGTTGCAATACCACATTAGCACAGAGATACAATTGTCGATTCAAATCACGTAGTGGTTGAGGTAGTAAAAGTATAAGCAGTAATCAGAAAGATTAGTGTTTGAAGATGTTATTCAATGAGTATAATCCATTTAAATAAATTTGGAAAGAGAAAAAGAAAAGGGACATAAAGAATACAGAAGATTAGAATTCAGGAGAACACAATGAGTGGATGCACCTGTGCCATTGTAAACGATTTTGAGCCATTTTATTCAGGGTCTCTAACCATCGGTTACTATCATCTCGTGGTCCCCAACTAGGTAGTCTACACCTACCAACATGGCTCAGTCCACTAGTCAATGACTTCATGGACTTGTGCCACATCTTGGTATGACCACCCCTGGCTTTCTTCAAACTTACTCCTACACCATAAAACACCGCACGTCGGGGCAGTCGGTGGTTGGGTTGGGTATACGTAACACGTGTCCCATCCATCTCAACTGATGAAGTTTCATTACTTCACCAATTGATTTGCTATCCTTACCTAGTACCCGTTTCTTAACAACTACGTTACTTACTCGATGGTCCCAGTGTTATATCCGGTGAAGATTAAACTACAGGTAAATTCCAAGGACTATTCATGGACTAATATTCTATAAATATTCTTATTGTATAACTACTCAACAATTACACTATGGATATTTATATTCCTTTTATGATAAGCTTTATTTTGATCTATAATTTATTATTATACGATTTACGGTTCTTAAGTTATGTTCAGTTTATTAACTACTGCCTCCCACATTCACAGCCACTTTTTGGGCTTATTTGTGTACAAATATTATTTCCTATTTTATGGTACGTTGAGGTCTGTTTAATTGATATATAAACCAAGCATGCCTGAAATAAACGATCTGCTCTGATTCGGAAGCTGGTATCTTGTTCTGGACTCAAGTGGAAGGGCTCGTAGGACATAGGACCAATAAGGACGCTAAAGTGCCCACACCGGTTGAACGTCATTGGTTGGCCTAGTGTGAAGATTCGTATAAGTCGTATTCGGATTGGTAGATAAATCGCGTGATAGAAAAGTCAGACATCCAAGGTCATAACAATTGGCGACGGGGATTTTGGCAAAAAAAAATACAAGTGGTGACTCAGATTTTGGAAATAAATTAGCTGTTATAATTGCCGGTGTTTTTTGGAGTTAATATTATTATTGGCAGTAAAAAAAATGTCGATTTCCTTAGAACAGTTGCAGTTATTATTACAACAACAGCAGCAACAATATCAACAACAGCAGCAGCAGATGTTAGCTTCTCAACAAAGACTCTTGGAAACACTTTTGGGGAAACTATCTATCCAACAAGAGATTCCAGAACATAAAAGTATCGAGTCATACCTTAATCCAGTTTCAGAATTTATATTTGATGCAGACAATGGTCACACTTTTGAAGCATGGTTTGGCAGAATTGAAGATATTTTCCGAGTTGAATTTGCTGCTATAGATGATGCAAAGAAAGTCCGGCTGCTATTACAGAAACTTGGTCCTAATGAGCATCAAAAGTATAAAAACCATATTCTGCCTAAACATCCACGAGAAGTTAATTTCGATGAAACTGTTAACATCCTAAATAAAATGTTTTGTGAACAGTCGTCTTTATTCCGTATCCGGTATAACTGTCTACAGCTGACTAAAGGGGCTGATGAAGATTATACTACGTACGCCGGAAGAGTAAATTTACAAGCAGAACGATTTAGATTAAATGTATTAACCAGCGATCAATTTAAATGCTTATTATTTATTTCTGGTCTGAACTCTCCTGTTGATGCTGACTTTTGCATGAAGTTGTTATCCCGTATGGAACATGATGATGAAATGACGTTACAAACTATCACCACTGAATGTCAACGATTAATAAACCTAAAACAAGATACAGCTATGCTGGAAACCAAAAGTGTTGTGCCCTCAAATTCTGTTCATGCTATTAAGACAGGTCAAAGACAAAACAGTACCAAAAGTCATAAATATTACTCGAAAACTCCTAAACCTGCAACTAAGTGTTGGTATTGTGGTGCGTGGCATTTCTCAAGATTTTGCCGATTTAGAAATCATAGATGCACTATATGCAATAAAGTTGGCCACAAAGAATTAGTCTGCCGAACTAGAGAAAGTTTGAGATCAAAACGAAGCAGACGTCCGCACCAGTACGAAAATAAGTATATAAACAGCGTATATTCTACACTGGCTCTAAGCGTAGCGAATAAAAGAAGATATGTGGAATTAATTGTTAATGGTGTTTATATTCGATTGCAATTGGACACAGCGTCAGATATCACACTAATCTCGAAACGAACGTGGTATTTAATTGGGTGTCCGAAAGTATTACCAACAGAACACACTGCGCGGAATGCGTCCGGAGATATATTGAAACTTGTGGGAATGATAAAATGCTCTGTTAAATTCCGAGGTAATTACTTTACAGGAATTGCTACTTAACGAACAGACATGAGTTAGACCTTATTGGTATAGACTGGATAGATAAACTAAATTTATGGGATGTACCGTTAAATGAAATATGCACAATGAAAGGCGCAAATAATCCTAGAGATCCACCCGCAGTTCATGTAACCAAGAAAGTCATAACGATAGAAGATCTTTTGCAGAAACATAAAAACTTGTTCCAGAATAAATTGGGATGCTGCACAATTGAGAAGGCAAAATTATACCTACGACAGGATGTAAAACCTGTTTTCCGTCCAAAGCGTCAAGTTCCATATGCAGCTATTGACAAAGTCGACAAAGAATTAGACCGACTAGAGAAACTCGGTGTTATACAACCTGTTAATTATTCGGCATGGGCAGCACCAATTGTAGTAGTTCAGAAAGCGAGCGGAGCTATTCGCCTTTGTGCAGACTTTTCAACAGGATTAAATGACGTTTTACAAAATCATTCATATCCATTACCTTTGCCAGAGGATTTATTTATTAAACTAAACGGTGGACGTTATTTTTCTAAACTTGATTTGTCTGAAGCTTACTTACAGGTGGAAGTTGACGAAGATTCAAAGGAGTTATTAACCATTAATACCCACCGTGGACTTTATCGATTTAACCGATTACCGTTTGGTGTTAAGCCAGCTCCAGCAATTTTCCAGCAGATAATGGATACTATGGTGTCTAACATCGAAGGTGTAGCAGTTTATTTGGATGATATTATAGTTGTTGGCTCTTCCGTGCAGGAATTAATGCGTCGGTTAGATGTGGTGCTCACTAAAATATCACAAGCTGGGTTTCAGTTACAAAAAGAAAAGTGTGAATTTCTTCTTGAGTCTGTTAAATACCTGGGATATATATTTGATAAAGATGGTCGTCGACCGGATCCAGACAATATAAATGCTATCAAAAATATGCCCAGACCGACTGAGGTTACAACCCTTCGTTCATTCTTGGGGATGATTGGTTATTATAGTATGTTCGTACCCCAGATGTATAAATTGCGACAACCATTAAATCCGCTCTTGATGGCTAATACAACATGGCACTGGACGAAAGAATGTCAAGATTCTTTCGATGAAATAAAAAGGATTTTATCTTCTAAACTGTTGCTGACTCATTATAATCCAAAGCTTGAAATAATTGTAGCCGCCGATGCTTCAAACTATGGAATTGGAGCCGTTATCAGTCATCGTTTTCCTGATGGTAAAGAAAAGCCAATTGCTCATGCATCCCGAACTCTTAACTCAACCGAACGAAAATATAGTCAGATTGAGAAGGAAGGATTAGCTTTAGTTTTTGCAGTAAAGAAATTTCATAAAATGATTTATGGTCGTCGATTTACGCTTTTAACAGACCACAAGCCGCTTTTATCTATATTTGGATCAAAGTCAGGTATTCCTGCTTATACAGCGAATCGGTTACAACGCTGGGCTATTACGTTGCTTGCTTATGATTTCCAAATCCTATATAAATCAACTGAAAAGTTTGGACAAGCCGATGCTTTATCTAGATTAATTGCTAATCAGAAGCAGAAAAGTGAAGATTCTATTATTGCAACGATATCGTTGGAGAATGATGTTCACCATATACTACAAGTTGCCATAAAAGCAACACCGTTATCCTGTGAAGACATTAAACGTTATACTCAAGAAGATGATGAATTGAAACAAATTATTAGATACCTCGAGCATGGTTGGCCTGCCCATATAGACGACAAAAATATTGAACAGTATTCCCACCGTCGGAATTCCCTATCACTTGTGGATGGATGCTTGATGTTTGGGAATCGAGTAATCGTACCCATAAATTTACGCCGTAAGGTGATGTCACAACTGCATGCCGCACACCCAGGAGTAGCAAGGATGAAGGCACTTGCACGTGGATATGTATATTGGCCGAATATTGACGCTCAGATCAAAGAGTATGTTGAGACATGTTCTGCGTGTGCAAAAGCTATCAAAGCCCCTCGTAAGACAGAAATGCAGAGTTGGGGGACACCAACAAATCCATGGTCAAGAGTACACGTAGATTTCGCCGGTCCCATAAGCGGAAAACAGTACTTAGTGATGGTTGATGCTTTCTCAAAATGGCCAGAAATCCACTACGTAAAGTCTCTTTCTACAAAAGCTACTATTGAAAAACTGAGACAAGTATTTAGCTGCTTTGGGTGTCCAGATGTATTAGTATCTGATAATGGGCCACAATTCACCTCCGCTGAATTCTCGAACTTCTGCGTCGCCAACGCTGTTAGGCATATAAAGACACCCCCATATCATCCACAGTCAAACGGTCTAGTTGAGAGGTTCGTAGATACATTTAAAAGAGCACTACTTAAAGCCGAGGGAGAAGGTGAAATAGACGAGATGATTCAAAGGTTTCTACAGACATACCGAGCAACACCAAACCCAACAACAAATAATCAAGAAAGCCCAGCAGAAGCAATTTTTGGGAGAAAGATTAGAATACCTATGGAGCAAATGAAACCAAAGCTTAGAGCCAACCTCCGAAAGAACAAACGAATGGAACAGCAATTCAACAAGCGGCACGGTGCATTGCCCAGAATGTTTAAGGTGGGACAAGCGATAATAACAAGAGATTTCACGGGAGTAAAGCCAACTTGGAAGTTTGGCATAATAATACGAAAAAAAGGGAAAGTTATCTACGAAGTAAAAGTTGGAAAAAAGATATGGGTGAGACATGCAAACCACATACAGCCAACCAGACAAGAACGAGAGACAGGAAATGCTACAAAGTCGAATATACCAATAAATATATTAACTGAGTCGAATAATGAAATTAAAAATGATCCGAATAATAACGAGACGTGTGAAACACTCCCAAGGAGATCGCAGCGCATCAGACGAAAACCCAATCGAATAAAAATAAATCCTAAGGATCATTATTATCTCTAATGCTTCAAAAAAGGGGAGGTGTTATATCCGGTGAAGATTAAACTACAGGTAAATTCCAAGGACTATTCATGGACTAATATTCTATAAATATTCTTATTGTATAACTACTCAACAATTACACTATGGATATTTATATTCCTTTTATGATAAGCTTTATTTTGGCCTATAATTTATTATTGTACGATTTACGGTTCTTAAGTTATGTTCAGTTTATTAACTACTGCCTCCCACATTCACAGCCACTTTTTGGGCTTATTTGTGTACAAATATTATTTCCTATTTTATGGTACGTTGCGGTCTGTGTGATTGATATATAAACCAAGTATGCCTGAAATAAACGATCTGCTCTGATTCGGAAGCTGGTATCTTGTTCTGGACTCAAGTGGAAGGGCTCGTAGGACATAGGACCAATAAGGACGCTAAACTGCCCACACCGGTTGAACGTCATTGGTTGGCCTAGTGTGAAGATTCGTATAAGTCGTATTCGGATTGGTAGATAAATCGCGTGATAGAAAAGTCAGACATCCAAGGTCATAACACCCAGGATATACAAGCAATATTTCGAAGACACCTATGATCAAATACTAGTAACCTACAAATATCTTCTACTCTTACCGGCCATGTTTCACTGTCATAAAGGAGGACGGAACGAACTGCTGCACAGTAATATAGAAAAGAAAGACAAGATAAACAAACAAAATAATAATCATAACATCAAGAAAAAATATATGAGAAACATATGAAATGCATTAAATAAGTAAATTCTTTTTCTTCTGTTTATAATAAATATGAAATTCATGTGATGAATGATGTCATTATGCCTAGAAACTGAAGACAAAGAAGAAGAAAAACAGGAGTATGTATTGTCTCTTTTGTTATTATGATTGTTGTTGTTGTTTACTTCATTATGGAATAATCAAAATAATGATGTGGAATTTTGTAAGGAAACGAATGAAATTCTTTTCAAAATGTAACATAAAGGAATGTGAAAAATGTATTTTTTTTCTCTTTTTTTTGACGTTCTCTCCCCCCTCTCTCACACACGCACACACCCCTCTCTTCATGGTCCCTATCATCTATGTTGTATATTATTCATCAGTGTATTTCGAATTCTCCGTTTTGCTTTGACGATAACGATAAGGATGTTTATGAATGTTCCTAGTACTATTAGTAGTAGTATGAGTATGAGTAGTATGATTAGAAGTAGTAGTAGTAGTAGTAGTACATTTACATGTTAAAATTTTCAATAATTTAGTACGATAAAATTGAAAGAATACAGCATATGTATAACCATTTAATGCATAATTAATATCTTTAATAGATGTTAATAAACGTGATAAATGTGCATATAATAAATGTAAACAATTTGAATGTTTATAATTTAAATTAGCTCTTATTGTTAAACTAATACTAACTGGAAATGTAAAACATAAATAAAAAAATGATAATAATAATAATGCAACAATACGACCAATTTCTTTACGATCTTCTGTGATTGTATGACGACGACGTTGTAATATAGTTGTTATTGTAGATGTCAATGAATTTTCTTGTTCATTTGTTGCTATGACAACTGATGATAATGTCCTTGTTGTTGCTGTTGCTGGTGGTGGTGATGTGATTGGATTCATTGAAATCAATTCACTTGACGATAAATTGATTCGATTATTATTATTATTATTATTATTATTATTATTATTATTATTATTATTATTATTATTATTATTATTATTATTATTATTAGTATTATACCAATTAACGAATTGTATATTTTTATTCATTGTTTTACATAATATACGTCGTTTTGATTTAATACTAACTAATTTAATAAGTAGTATTAAATTAATAAAGACTAATAAAATACATGGTACCATATAAGTTAAAACTGTACTGAATAAAAATGATAATAAATCTTTATCATTCATTGGATGTCCATTTGTACTTAATGCACAGGTTAATGAAGGTGAAGAACCTAAATTATAAAAATAAAAGAAGAAAGAAAAAAATAAATAATAAAGAAATATTTTTTTTAGTATCAGAAGGGGTTTCATGGAGATTGTAGTAATTTCAATGGTTGAAATCATGATT